ACACACACACACACACACACTCACACACACACACACATACACACACACACACACACACACACACAGCACACGTAGGAAAGAGTGACTTAATCTTTGTACAGATGGTTGTCGTGGACAGGTAGGTGAGCGTGAGAGCAGGCGGGACTGTGGTTTATTTATACGTCGGTCTGGGGTTCTTTGTCTGGTACAGTCTGTGTTGTGATAAGTTGTGTCTGGACGGTATGTTGGAGGCCCCGGGGCGGGGGAGGCCAGGGGGTGGCTTGGTGGTGGTGGTGGGGGGAGAGGGGTGGTCTATTCCGGGGGTCAGGCCGTGTCGTGTGACGTAACCCCGCGGTCTGTAGTAGTCAACGTCCACGTCATTCTTCTTCTCCTCATACCTTCTGTCCATCCCGGAGGAATCCGCCCTGGCTTGAGCCAACAGATAGCCCAGGCGGGCGTTGTTCTCTGTGGTTCTCACCAACTGTGCGCGGCACTGAGCGAGGTCATACGCCGCGCGGCATTGTGGGTCAGTGCATGAGTACGCCACTCCCGCCAACACACGGGGCGTCTTGGCCTGTGCCAGGTATGTGACGTCACTGTCCTCAAAGCTTTTTGGCCACACCCCTGACCTGGTGATGGGCAGCGACCGGTTGGTGTCGTGTAAACTTTCTCTCGTGGCTAGAACATCCCCCAGTGACATTCTCTTGTTCTCTTTCACACCGCCCAGCACGTCTAACTCCTTCACCAAGTTGTCATTGTTCTTCCTCTGTAGCTCCAACTCCAACTTTGCTCTCAGAAGGTTTTTATGGAGGTCCTTACACTCCCTCAAAACTGCGTGATAATCCGATTTTTCCTCATTGCTTCTTTTCAGATTTTCTATGTCTCTATGGAGGTTCCCAATAACTTGATCTCTCCTCTCGTTGTCTTCCTGAAGCGAAACATTCGTCTTCCTCTCTCTGCGCAACTCGTCTTCCAACGTCTCCACCTGACTCAGCACTTTCTCGTACTTCCCCTCAAAGCGGCCCTCCTTGTTGGCCAGGACCTGCGCCATGTTGCCGAACCCCCGCTTGTACTCCGCTGCCAACTGCCGTTTCTCCCGACTCTCCTGTTCCAGGGTGGAGATGGCGCGAGAGAAACGGTGGTCGTCTGCGTGTCTGGATAGCTCCAGTGATGTCACTCGCTGCACCAGGCGGCTGTGCTCTGCCAGCAGACGACGGTCAAGGAAGTTCTTGAGGGCTCGGAGTTCTTGTAGCGAAAGTTTGCGGGCGAGTCGCGGGAACTCTCGGAACAACTCTGTGAGGTGGGGGGTATGGGAGGGAGAATAATAATAATAATAACAACAACAACAACAGCAACAACAACAACAACAACAATTATAATAACAACAACAACAGCAACAACAACAACCACAACAGCAACAACAACAACAACAACAACAACAACAACAACAATAATAATAATGGTAATAATAATAATAATAATAATAATAATAATAATAATAATAATAATAATAATAATAATAATATAAGAAGAAGAAGATAACCGTCACCACCATTATCACCATCACCAACACCACCACCACCACAACCAGCAATTACGTCTGTGACAACATCAGTGTATGTAATAATGTAAAAGCAACATCGCCAACATTACCTTCAATAGACAAGACAAAAGTCTAAGGTCCAAGCAAAGTAAAAAAAAAATACCTTGGAATTCTGGGAACAAATACGTGTCCATGTCTGTGAGATGTCTGTGAGATGTCTGTGAGATGTCTGTGAGATGTCTGTGAGATGTCTGTCCTACTCGCCGATGGTGGAACAACAAGTCTGAGCCTGCAGAAAAACAACAAACCCCCCAAAAAATAAAAAAAATAAAACAGCAACAACAGATCCACACGTGGTCCAATAGAAAACATACACATGTGATAGACAGATTCACACGTGGTCCAATAGAAAACATACACATGTGATAGACAGATTCACACGTGGTCCAATAGAAAACATACACATGTGATAGACACACGAGCTTGGAATTGGATGGGGCTCCTGCAGAAGTTCAAGACTTAGTGGGAGGAGCAGAAGGCTATGGAATCAACCATTGCTTGGAACCGTCAGCATCTACACACTTGGAGATGTGCTTCTTCAGGGGACGGAGCGCTTATGGGGATGTCCCTTGTGCAGTGATGTCGGTCCTTCACTCAAGTAACAAGTAACATGTGATAGACAGGCTCAAAAGTAGATTGATATGTTAACATTCCCCTCACAAAAAGTCATAATCTACGATGTTTAAGAGACCTCCATTGTCCACAGCCTGTTCTCTGTTAAGAAAAGTGTCAGTGACAATGTCAGCCCCCCCCCCCTCCCCCCGGGCAGTGCTACTGACTGAAGTGTCTTTAGGCCATTCCTAAAGGGGGGATATTAACATGTTCTTATGCACAGTAGAATAGTACATGAGGTGATTTATCAATGTCATGCTCATAACTGTGTCTGAACTGCAACAAGGAACTGCTGCTTTTTCTTTCCTAATCCTGACTATCGTCATTTTTCCTCTACTTCGTTTGTATGTTTGTCACTCTCTTGTGACCTGTTATTTCCGGGGTGCCTTGATAGTCGAAGCAGACTTTGTGCTGTTGAAGCTAGAGAGGTGAACAGAGTAAGTCTGATTCCCTATAGAGACTTCTCTGTTGATATCCACCCCTTGGCGCTCATATGACCTTATGCAGTTGCGAGCGCCGTAAAACCTTATAAAAACAAACAAGACAATTTCAGGGTGGTGTGACCCGAAACGATACGTGTGGGCAGAAGACATAAACAGGTTTTCTTCTTTGGACCCTTCGGTCGCATAGACATGATCACTAAAATACATAACGCTCAGTAACCTCGCCAACAAATAGCTGATTTTGAGACAGCGACACCACCCTGCCCCCACATTTCAGTGTACGCTTGAAGATTTCATCCCCCGGCTGTCTAGACGTCTCCACGTGCTCCACGTGAGTCTCAAAAAAGTACTCACCCATGTGTCAGGCGTTCGTTGAAGAGTGGTGTTGAGGAAAATACAATCTGTCAACTGTTTAATGTTTTTGGTGAATGCTATGAATCCGCTATTATATTATTTTAATTTGACCCTCTTTAGGCTAACATAAAAGAAAAGGAGTCTGTACCGTGGTTTGCACTGACCTTTATATAAATTATCTTGTTCATTCTGTTGGTCGTGAAACTTTTCAACGCGTGTGCAAAGATTTGAGAAGATTGAACAGAGAGATTCGAGTCTGTCTTGTTTTAACCGCGCTCAGACGAAAGTGAACAAGTTATTATAGTATAGGCCAGACAGTTTCTTCCATCTGTCGTTCTGTAGCCTTCAGTCGGGGAGGGTTTATTCCATCTGTCGTTCTGTAGCCTTCAGTCGGGGAGGGCTTATTCCATCTGTCGTTCTGTAGCCTTCAGTCGGGGAGGGTTTATTCCATCTGTCGTTCTGTCGCCTTCAGTGGACGAGGGACTTTGGCTTTCTCCCATCTCCCATACAGTGGCGTTCTCCTATCGGTAAGTTTGGCTACATTATCATAACATGTTAGAGGACATCTTCATTTCTTTTTCAAGGCAAAGTAGAGTAGATCTACGTGGGTGTAGAAAAGGAAAAACAACAACAAACCCGCAAAAAAATCCCGAAAAAAGGACAAGTTGTCCATTTGGTGTTGTCCGACTATAATTTTTTACACCAAGTGGGCAGAAGAAAAGATTTTAGGAACAAAACAAACAGGATAAGATTTCAAATACCAAGACTGAAAAGGGTTTTGTTTTTTCATGATTGGCTCTTTTAACAATATCCTGGCAAATGAAGACACCCTTCAATTGTCCCTTGCCAATTCCCCCCC